GGCCTGTGCCACCCGCACCATTGTTCTGAGCCCCTAGTTGCGGGTGCCAGGCCAGTCCATCTCCTGCAGGGTTCGCAGCATTTCCATGAAGCTCTAACTTCAGCGAGGATGATGTCCTTTTCCAGGGACTGGTCCCTCCTGACAACACGACCAGACCAGCGCCGCTGAGGCCTGAGGGTCCGTCCCCAGAATCCTAGAGCCTTTCCATCCAAACTCCTCCTGCTTCCCCATCCACACACGCACACACACACATGCGTACACATACACACACACTCCTTGCACCTGATCACAACTCGTGGGGCCCTGCCCCGGCTTTCCACAGCTACCGAATTCTGTCAGCAGAACCCAATCCAATCACAGACAGCTGCACACACATTAGCACACATCCCCGGATCCGAGCCTGAGCATTTTAAAATGGTTTCTTCTCAGAGAAATCAGATGATGGACAAAAAAGGCAAGAGAAGGAAAAACAGGACCCCTCCCCCCAACTCTGGAGGGGCTTCTTTAGCTGCCGGTGATGCCAGTCACTGCCACAGCACACGGCACAGTGCATCCGGGGAACACCAGCTCGTGTGCAAAAGTGGGCCGAGTCTGCGCTGTGGAGTCAGCTCTGACTCCGAGAGACCCTACAGGGCGGAGCAGAACTGCCCATGGGGGGTGGGGGGCGGGAGGTGGGGGGTAGGGGAACTGGGGTCCAAGGCTGCGGACCTTTACTCAAACAAACTAGCACAGCGTTCTCCTGTGGAGTGGCTGGTGGGTTTGAACTGGCGACCTTCCACTTAGCAGCCAAGCATGTTAACCACTGCCCTACGGTGGTTCTACCCTATGGAAAGGTTAGGGGGAGTTTGGGGGACTGGTAAAATGTGACCCAGATGGATAGCTTTTACTTCGAAATGGCGTTAGTTAAAGCGGCAGCTGAACGTGACCACCCCTTCCCCCTCTGGGTATGCGCACAGAGAGACTGAGTGATACTCGTGTGTGGAGGGGCTCCTCCCAGTGGTCGTTCTGAAGGGTTTCCTGGAAGAGGTAATGAGCCAAGTGAACCAAGTCGGGGTGGGAGGGTTTGACTTACAGGGACTTTATTGGTAAGATAGAGCCTGGCATAACTCACTGGTTTAATATCCTGTAGACCTTGGTTTGCGGTTAATGCCATCATATATGGAGAAAAAAAAAGCAACAACGCTCGGAAATGCAGCAAAGCTCTCTGGCAATTGCTCTCCTTGGAGGGGAAAGTCAACACGCAACCACTCTTTCGTGATAAGATTAAATCTGTGTGAGCTGACGAGCTAAACATCATCTGGTACAAACCGTCCCTCCCCGAGAAAGAAGACTGATAAACACAGCATGCCCTGGCTCATCAAGATTTCTGAGGAGAGGCTCTCTGATCAGAAGGTCATCCTGACTGTGCAGAGGTCAAGAATAGCAAGGAAGCCCGCACTGGGGCATCGAGGGAACGGCCTGCTCTGTGGACAGGCCACTGGGAGGAAGGCTTGGCTGCTGCTCTGTCTTCCAGCAACGTAATCGCCTGGGGCTGTCACTGAAAATCCAGCCCACGTGTCCTCTGATGTGAGGGATTCCTGCAAAGACTTCCACAATGAGGAACCCCGGTGGTGCAGTGGTTAAAGTGCTTGGCTGCAAAGTGAAAGGCCGCCAGTTCAAACCCACCAGCCACTCCACAGGAGAAAGCTGTGCTCCTCTGTTTCAGTAAAGATCCCACGAGCTGGTGTCCCAGGATGCACGGCGCTAGTGGACGTCTAGCACAGGTTGGAACCTCGTTTCTGCCTTGGCAATGCTTTGCTATGGATTCACATGAAGACATGGTACACCTTATCATAGTGTGATAAATAAGTTACCTTAATCTCAAGGTCAGCTGGTGGCCCTGTGATAGGAATGGACAACTCTCGCACCTCTGGATGTTGGTGCCTGCAGGCAGGGAAACACCTCTTTCTCCCAATGTCTTGAGGGCAAGTTTGAATTTCTCCATACGCTGGTGCCGCCTCAAAAAAAATACAACCTAGACTCTCTGCCATGCAGTCACTAGCAGCTCATAGCGATGCGATAGAACTGGGTGGAACTGCCCCTGTGAGTTTCGGAGACTGTCGCTCTTAGAAAGCCCCTTCTCCTTCCGAGGGGCTGGGGTTAGCAGCCCAGGGGTTGCCCACTCTGCCACCAGGGCTCCTCTTCAAGTACAAAAGCTGCCCCTTGTCTCACGCCAAGGCCTGACATCAGTTCCCTGCTCCAATATCTTTTTCCTCGTTGTCCCACTCGCGTTAGGGAGAGGACCATCTAGTGCAGTGGTTCTCAACCTGTGGGTCGCGACCCCTTTGGGGATCCAACGACCCTTTCACAGGAGTCATAACAGCAGCAAAACTACAGTGATGAAGTAGCAACGAAAATAATTTTATGGTTGGGGGGGTCACAACAACATGAGGAACTGTATTAAAGGGTTGTGGCATGAGGAAGGTTGAGAATCATTGATCTAGTGTGATAAAATCAGAACAGGATTTATGAGGTTAAAAAGCACATCACATCAGCAGAGTGTAATTACACATTCGGTCAGGATCCAGCATGCAGGCCCAGGCTGGTACAGCCACAGACAGTGTGTGTGTGTGTGTGTGTGTGTGTGTGTGTGTGTGTGTGCACGTGCCTTCCATGGGGGGAAAAACGTAGAGGCCTTTCTTCTTTAGTTATCAAGCACCAACTGGTCAAACACATTGCTCCCATCTGCATAGCCTTGTGCAGCTCATCCCAGAGACCCCACTGATGCGTGATGAGCCGTGTCGGCCAGGGGCTGGAGGGAGCTCCAGGGGAGGGACCGAGGCTGCCAGGGCCAGGTACCTGCAGGTGATATTTTATCATGAACTGCCCCCTTTGGTTAGCTCGGTGGATACATTTGAAGCAGCACTAGACAGAGGGACTTAAACATTGTTGAAAATGACTCTTTATTACTGTCCAGTGAGTTGTTGTCATTTTTCTAAAAGTGACTTTTCAAAGGAGGCAAGACTCAGAAGTGCAGGTCCATCCTGAGGAGGGCATGCCCCTGCCCCCGATGGTGAGAGCCACTGTCCTGGTCCCAGGCCCAGTAGATTGGATCAGAAAGGCCTACACCAGTCCATCTGTGTGCTCCAAGACCTCCCATTTCAGGTCTCAGTGTCTTGAGATTCCGTGCTGATATATCTTGAAGCACCAATAAACAAGTAATCTCCAGGGTCAGGCAATAAAAAAGAATTTCACATTTTATCTGGCTTTTAAGATGTCGAGATATGCTGTAATGGACTGGTTATCATTGCCAACAAGAATGGCAAAATGCTTTATAGGTCATCCTATCAGAGTGGTAAGATAAAAGAGAATGGATGTCATTTAACTGCAGAGCATGGCTATTAAAACATACTTGGATGCATTTTATATGACATTGAGTGGGGTGTGTTTGCAATAGGAGGGCGTAGATAGGAAGCTGATCATCTATTCCTGCTGCCAAAGTCCTCCAGCAAACCAACCAATAGAATGAGCTGTCCGTGGGCATGGAAAAAAAAAAGTATTAAGGATTACATAAAGGATCGTCAAAAAGTTTAGTAGAGATAGAAAATATTTGTGAAGAGTATATAAATTCATAAAGTACATGTATGTCTATAGTATACCTATATCTCACATGTATCACCTTGTGTCTATCAGCTTGTTATACTGTGGTGGCTTATGGTTGCTGTGATGCTGAGAACTATGTCACCAGTGTTTCACATGCCAGCAGGGTCCCAAGGGAACACTTTCAGCAGAGCTCCCAGACTAAGAGCAGTCTGTGAAAAAGGAACGGCTTGTGTCCACTTCTGAGGAATTGGCCACTGGAAAAATGAAACCCTCGTGAAAAGAAGCAGACCAGTGCCAGACAAACTGCCCCCCGGGAAGCCCTCCAGGTCGGGAGGTACTCAAATATGAGTGAGGAGGAGCTGCCTTCTCAAACCAGAGGTGACCACAGTGATGTGGATGGACTAAGGCCTGCGGGAGTAGAGCTTTCAGAACCTTCCTTGGCTGATAGGTCCCAGCTCAACATGAAGGAAAAAAAAAAAAACAGCTACAAACATCCATTAAGAATCAGAACTTGAAATGTATGAATCTAGGAAAATTGTAAGGTGTAAAAGAGGAAACAGGACTCATAAAAATGGACATCTTTTGGCATTAAGGAACTGAAGTGGACTGGTATTGGCCATTCTGAATCAGAAAATCATATGGTTTATTATGCTGGGAATGGAAAATTCGAGAGTAATGGCATTCGGTATCAAAAGGGCATTTCAAGATATATCTTGAAGTGCAATGCTGTCGGTGTTAGGATTATATCTATCTACACTCAAGGAAATCCAATCAATACAATGATTATTCAAACGTATGCACAGCCCCAAAAGCTAGTTTGGAAGAAATGGAAGACTCCTACCAATGTCTCAGTCAAAGTGGATCAAACATGTCATCAAAATGTATTGATAATGACTGACAATTGGAATGCAAAAATTGGGCAGGGGGGGAAAGGGAAAGGAACAATGGTTGAAAAATATGGCCTGGGTGATAGAAATGAAACTGGAGAAACCATGGTAGAATTTTGTAAGACCAATGGCCTGGTCAGAGCAAATGCCTCTTTTCCAAAAACACAAAAAAGGTGGCTATGCACATGGACTTCTCCAGATGGAATGCAAAGAAATCAAATTGATGAGCTCTGTGGGAAGAGATGATGGTGAAGCTCAAAATCAGCTGCTAAAACAAGGCCAGGGGTCGACTGTGGACCAAATCAATTGTGCAGGTTGAAGTTCAGGTTGAAGTTGAAGACAATCAAAACAAGTCCAGAAGAGCCAACGTGTGACCTTATGTCAATCCCACCTGCATTTTGAGAACAGCTCAATAACTGATTGGACACATTGAACACTAATGACAGAAGACTAATGACACTGATGAGTAGGAGACTGACACCAAAGGCATCATTGTTGAAGAAAGCATAACGTCATTAGAAAGAGAGGAATGAAAGAAAAGATCAAAGTGGATGTCAGAAGAGACTCTGAAACTGGCTCTTCATTGTAGAGTAGCGGAGGCACATCGAGGAAATGAGCTGAGAAGATCGAGTCAAATATTATAATGAAATGTGCAATGACCTTGAGGTAGAAAACCAGAAGGGAAGGACACAGTCAGAATATCTTAAACTGAAAGAACGCAAGAGAAATGTCAAGCCACAAGTTATAATATTGAAAGATTAAAAAAACAACAACAACAAAAAAAAAATATTGAAAGATTCTATGGGAAAAATACTGAAGGATGCAGGAATCATCAAAAGGTGTACATGCCCCCAATAAAATTATTTTTAAAAAAAGAAGGTAAACACTAATAACGATGAGTACAAGATTGAAGAAACGGTTCTAAAATGGATGGGGGTGATGTTTATACAACTTTTCATGATGTGATTGAACTACTGAATTGTATGATATGTGAATTATATGTCAATGAAGCTGTTATGGGGGGCAGGGGAGAAAGTAGAAAGAATGCACAGAATCACTATACCAACAAGAGATTACATATGAGCAAGAACCAATGGTACTGAAGAAAGAAGTTCAAGGTGCACTGAAAGCATTAGCCAAACACAAGGGTCCAGGAATTGGTGGAATACCAACTGAAATGCTTCAATAAGCGGATGAAGCACTGGAAGCACTCACTCATCTATGCCAGGGAATCTGGAAGACAGCGACTTGGCCAACTGACTGGAAGAGATCCCTATCTGTAGCCATTCCAAAGAAAAGTGACCCAACTGAATGCTCACATTCTAGAATATCATTGTTATATGTAAGCATAGTTTTGCTGAAGATCAGCCAACTATGGTTGCAGCTGCTAGAAGTTCAGTCCAGGTTCAGAAGAGGATATGGAACAAGAGATATCATGGCTGATGTCAGATAAATCTTGGCTGAAAGCAGAAAATATCAGAAAGCTGTTTACTTGGGTTTTATTGACTATGCTAAGGCATTCAACTTTGTGGGTCAAAACAGGCAGTAGAATTCCAGAACACTTCATTGTGCTCACGTGGAACCTGTGCATAATCAAGAGGCAGTTGTGTGAATAGAACAAGGGACTATCGCATGGTTCAAAACCAGGAAGGGCATGCATCAGGGTTTTATTCTTTCACCATA